ATGAAAAACCTACAGCTAACATCACACTTAATACTGAAAGTGTGGATGCTTTCCCCCTAAGATCAGAAACAAGACAATATATCCATTCTTGTCGCTTCTATTCAACATTATATTAGAGGTTCTAACTAGAAAAATTAGGCAAGAAAAAGAATTGAATTGGAAAGGAAAAAGTAAAACTATTTGCAGATGACAGGATTTGTAGATAGAAAATCGAAAGGAATACACTAAAAAAGCTAATAGTACTAATAAATGAGTTCAGCAAGGTTGCAGGATACAAGATCAATATGCAAAATTATTGATTGTATTTCTATACATTTGCAATGAACAACCTTAAAATGAAATTAAGAAAACAATTCTATTTACAGGCATCAAAAAGAATAAAATACTTAGGAATCATTTAACAAAAGATGTGCAAAACATACTCTGAAAACTACAAAACATTGAAAGAAATGAAGGAAAATCTAAATATATGGAAAAAGATGTCTCGTTCATGGATTGGAAGACTTAACACTGTTAAGCGTCAATACTCTCCAAATTGGTCTACAGAGTCAACACAATCTCTATCAGAATCTCAGCTGGCTTCTTTGTAGAAAGTGACAAGCTGATTCTAGATTTTACATGGAATTGCAAAGGACGCAAAATAACCAAAACAATCTTGAAAAAGAACAAAGTTAGAGGACTCACACTTCCCAATTTCAAAACTAACTAGAAAGCAACAATAATCAAGAGAGTGTGTTAACCGGCATAAGGAAGAACATATAAATCAACAAACTAGAATTGGGAACCCAGAAGTAAACCCATGTGTCTATGGTCAACCGACTTTTTATTTTTCCTGAGGAAGATTTGCCCTGAGCTAACATCTGTTGCCCATCCTCCTTTTTTTTGTTTGTTTGAGGAAGATCAGCCCCGAGCTAACATCTGTGCTAATCCTCCTCCACTTTGTATGTAGGTCACCACCACAGCATGGCTTGATGAGTGGTGCAGGTCTGTGCCGGGGATCTGAACTCGTGAACCTGGGCCACCGAAGCAGGGTGCTTGGAACTTCAGCCACTCTGGGGCCAGCCTCGTGTGGTCAACTGATTTTTTCATTAGGGTGCCAAGGTTATTCCAAGGGAAAATAATAATCTTCAATAAATAGTGCTGGGACAACTGGATAGCCATATGAAAAAGAATGAAGTGGGACTCTTACTTCACACCATATGTAAAAGTTAGTGAAAAATAGATCAAAGACCTAAATGTAAGAGCTAAAATTATAAAACTCTTAAAACAGAATGTAAGGTTAAATCTTCATGACCTAAGATTTGGCAATGGATTCTTAGATGTGATACCAAAAGCATGAGGAACAAAAAAAATATAGATAAATAAATTGGACTTCATCAAAATTAAAAGCTTTTGTGCTTCAAAGGACACTGTCAAGAAAGTGAAATGACAATCCACAGAATGGGAGAAAATATTTGCAAATCATATATCTGATAAGGGACTGGTATCTAGAATATATAAAGAACTTTTATAATTCAATAATAAAAAGACTAATAACCCAATTAAAAATGAGCAAAGGACTTGAGTAGTCATTTCTCCAAAGAAGATATATGAATAGTCAATAAGCACATGAAAAGATGCTCAAATTTGTTAGTCATCAGGGAAATGAAAATCAAAACCATGAGATACTGGGCCGGCCCTGTGGCTTAGCGGTTAAGTGCGCAAGTCCGCTACTGGCGGCCCAGGTTCGGATCCCGGGCGCGCACTGACACACCGCTTCTCCGGCCATGCTGATGCCGCGTCCCACATACAGCAACTAGAAGGATGTGCAGCTATGACATACAACTGTCTACTGGGGCTTTGGGGGGGAAAAAAAAAAGGAGGAGGATTGGCAATAGATGTTAGCTCAGCAAAAAAGAGGAGGATTCAGCATGGATGTTAGCTCAGGGCTGATCTTCCTCACAAAACAAAAACCAAAAACCAAAAAACAAAAAACTAAAAAAACCATGAGATACTGCTTCACACTCACTAGAATCGCTATAATCAAAAAGTCAAATAATAACAAGTGTTGGTGAGGATGTGAAGAAGTCAGAACCCTCATACACTGCTGATGGGAATGTAAAAGAATGCGCCTTTTTGGAAAACAGTAAGCACTAAACATAGAATTACCACATGACCCAGCAGTTACACTCCTAGGTATATACCCAACAGAAATGAAAACATATGTCTATACAAAAACTTCTACATGAATATTCACAGCAGCATTATACATAATAGCCCCAAACTGGAAAAAATCTAAATGTCCACCAATTGGTGAATGGATAAACAAAATATGGTAACAATGGAATATTATCCAGCATGGAATATGATTCAGCAATAAAAAGAAATGAAGTACTGATACAAGCTACAACATCAAAAATGTTAGGGTATGGGGCGGCCCCGTGGCTTAGTGGTTAAGTGCGCGCGCTCTGCTGCTGGTGGCCCGGGTTCGGATCCCAGGCGCGCACCAACTCACTACTTGTCAGGCCATGCTGAGGCGGCGTCCCACATACAGCAACTAGAAGGATGTGCAACTATGACATACAACTATCTACTGGTGCTTTGGGAGAAAAGGAAAAAAGGAGGAAGATTGGCAACAGATGTTAACTCAGGGCCAAACTTCCTCAAAAAAAAAAGGAGAGAGAGATTTGGAGACACACAGGGGAATACATCATGTGAAGACAGAGGCAGAGATTGGAGTTATGCTGACACAAGCTAAGGAACACCAAAGACTGCTGGGAATCACCAGATGCTGGGAAGAAGCAAGTTAAGATTCTTCCCTAGAGTCTTCAGAGGGAGCATGGCCCTGCTGACATGCTGACTTTGGCCTTCTAGCCTCCAGAACTGTGAGAGAAAAATTTCTGTTATTTTAAGCCATCCAATTTGTGGTAATTTGCTATGGCAGCCCTAAGAAATGAATACAATGTTCATCATACTATTACTTCTACTTTTCTGTATGTTTGAAATTTTTCATAATAAAATATTATTTAAAAAAACATTGGAAGCCAACTTAGTGGCCTCCATGTTAGGGAACACTGGGGAGTGGTGGAGACTGTGGCAAATGCCTACAGAGGGCACATGCTCTGTCTAAAGGGGATCTCTCAGCCCCAGTGACTGTGACACTGTGGAATATGCACCCAGGGATGTCAGGGCTTCCAGTTTGTCAAAAAAAACTGGGAACCCATATTTTTCTATGTGATCTCTTGAATTTGAAATGTTTGAACTAATTCAAAATCTTAAAAACTTGTGTGGCTTTTTGCAGCAAGAACACGGCAACAGTGCATGTGTATGTGCATATGTGTGTGTATATTTTAATCCTTTTAATCCTCTCATAAAAATAAGACAGCATAGGATAACAAAAGAACACCCCCACACACACACCCCCACACACATATACACAGCCCCTGTGTAGGCCGACTCAGATTTCTGCTGGTTGGATCTGATCCTCAATTAACACTGGGAATGTGGTTTCTTAAGTGCCTATTATGTGTCAAACACTATGATGGCATCTTATAGGCTGTATTTCACTTAATCATTATGAGGTAGGTATTAGTCACAAGAAATGTTTTTACACATGAGGAAACTGAGGCATGTTAGCATGTGCTCTCTATTCCGCCAGGACTTATGAGTTGTTTCCAAAGGTCTGTATCAGCTGGTCAAAAGAATGGACCCTGGAATCAGACAGACCTGGATTCAAGACTCAGCTCTCAAGTTAAACACTATATGACTGTGGGCAAGATACTCACACTCTCCGAGCCTCAGTTTCCTCATGGGTAAAATGAGGACGATATCAGTGCTTTATTCATGGGGCTATTGAAGGATTAAATGAGACAGTGTATGTCAAATGCTTAGCCTGTTTCCTATAAATATGACTAGGAACTAGTAGATGCAAGTGATCATTATTGTTTTTTTAAAATACAATTGCTAGCCGCAAGGATCCATTTCTTTAACTATAACTTACCCCAGCTCATTCAAAATTACTGATTACAAAAATCCAACCAACAACAAACTTTCTAGAAAATTTCCCTGTGAAAAAATCTTTTAGTTTTCTTTGAAAGTGAATGGGTTATAACCGTTGTTTGCCACGTGTACAAATGGCACACGTGCTCTGTAAAATGCCATGTTGCTGTTCTTGCCAGGGAACGTTTGTTGCCAGGGACAGGATTCCTTCCTCTCCACCACGTGCCGGGGCAGGAACTGTCTATCCAGAGAGTCCAGGTGTCTTGACTGTTTCTTCCTGCCTGCCCAGCACATGGCAGCAGATGGCCACTGGGGTTTTTGTTTTCCTTCCAGTTCAATGCTGTAGGGATGACTTTTGAGGGAATAAAAAAGTCCCGGGACAGAATCTGATAGGCTCAGCTGGAATTTGATGTCCACTCCTGGGCCAATCAGCTGTGGTTTGGGAGGGTCATCTTAGCAGGGGGCTCTTGAGCGCTGACTCTCTGAGAATCAGAGTCATGGGTCACCAGTGGCTGACAGGGCCTTCCTGCTCATGCAGCCAGGTAAGAGTGGCTGGTATGTACCTGGCATTTCAGGTTGATGCCAGAGATGACAACCATGGCCCAGTGGGGAACATCACCAGGAGATGTTGTTAATAATATTCTTTTTTAGATATGGACGAAATTTATGAATTGTTACCTGTGGGGATTAGGACTTCAGGACAGAAGAGAATGATCTTCACTTTCTACACCTTTGTGTTGTTTAAAATTTTTTTCTTTTTAATATACTTTATTTTTTAGAATGTTTCAGATTATAGAAAAATTGAGAAGATAGTACAGAGAATTCCTACACACCCCACATCCAATTTCCCTATTATTAACATCTTACATTAGTATGATGCATTTGTTTACAATTAATGAACCATATTGATACATTATTATTAACTAAAATCTATAGTTTATTTAGATTTTCTTTTTTCTTTTCTTTTTTTTTTTGTGAGGAAGATTAGCCCTGAGCCAACATCCGTTGCCAATCCTCCTCTCTTTGCTGAGGAAAATTGGCCCTGAGATGACATCTGTATCCATCCTCCTCTACCCTATATGTGGGATGCTTGCCACAGCATGGCCCCTTAAGTGGTGCACAGATCCATGCCCGGGATCCAAACCGGTGAACCCAGGGCTGCCGAAGTGGAGCATGCGAACCCAACCACTACGCCCCAGGGCCGCCCCCTAGATTTTCTTAGTTTTCACCTAATGTCCTTTTTCTGTTCCAGGAGTCCATCCAGGACACCACATGACATTTAGTTGTCATCTTGCCTTAGGCTCCTCTTGGCTGTGACAGTTTTTTATATTTCCTGTTGTTGAAGACCCTGACAGTTTTGAGAAATACTGGTCAAGTATTTTGTAGGCTGCTCCACTATTGGATTTGTTTAATGTTTTTCTCACAAGACTGGGTTATTGGGAGGGAGACCACTAAGGTCTCTATTTTCATTATATCATATCAAGAATACATGCTATCAACATGATGTATGACCGTTATTGTTGGCCTTGATCACCTGGCTGATGTAGTGTTTGTCAGGTTTCTCCACTGTCAAGTTACTCTTTGTTCCCTCGTTCCATATTGTACGCTTTGAAAGGAAGTCACCGTGCACAGCCTATGCCTAATGGGTGGAGATTTATGCTCCCCCTTCTTGAGAGCAGAGTATCTACATAAATTATTTGGAATTCTTGTGTGTATTAGTTTCCTAGAGCTGCCATAACAAATTACCACAGATTAGGTGGCTTAAAACAACAGAAATTTACTCTCTCAGAGTTCTAGAAGCTACAAGTCTGAAGTCAAGGCATCGGCAGGGCCATGCTCCCTCTGAAGGGTCTAGGGAAGAATCCTTCCTTGCCTCTTCCAGCTTCTGGTGGCCCCAGGCGTTCCTTGGCTTGTGGCAGCATCACTCCAATCTCTGCCTCCATCTTCACACGGCCTTCTTCTCTGCATACTCTATGTCCTTTTCTTTTCTCATAAGAACACAGATCATTAGGTTAAGGGCTCCCTTAAAGTCCAGTATGATCCTTAATTAATTACATTTGCAAAGACTCTATTTTCAAATAAACTCACATTCTGAGGTTCCAGCAGACACGAGTTTTTGGGGGACATTAATCAGCCCACTCTATTCTGCATAGGATATTTGTTCTTTTTTCCCCTTTATCAATTTGTTCAATCATTTATATCATTATGGACTGATGGATATTTATTTTTTACTTTGGGTCATAATCCAATACCACTTTATTTTTTTGTTCAAATTGTTTCAGCTTTGGCCATTAGGAGCTCCTTCAGTTGGCTTCTGTGACATATCCTCACTAATTTTTTTAAAGCATTTCCATACTTTCTGGCACTAGAAGATGCTCCAGGCTCATCTTGTACATTTCCTGCTCCAGTTCCAGAATCAGCCATTTCTCCAAGGAGCTTTGGTTCCTCTTTTTGGAGAATGGCATTAGAAACCAAGATCTGGGCATTAGGCATTCTCATGGCTACTGGGATGTCATTTCTTTTAGGCCCTCTTAGCCAACAGAACAAAAACATATGTATTTTATTAACCCATGTATATATACATATCTATACGCGTTTCTGTATGTAACCATCTATATCTATAGTAAGCAGAACATGAGTTCATACTGATGTATCCAACTCTAATCCATCATCACACATATCCCTCTAGTCTCCTCGCCTTGCTTATCTGTAAAATCCTATTTCAACAATGAGAATGCTCCTGGCTCCCACTATCTAACATCCATTTACTTAATTGTTCCATTCTAGTATGCATATAAAGCAGTATCAAAATTGTTAATCTGGGGCCGGCCCCGTGGCTTAGCGGCTAAGTGCTCGCACTCTGCTACTGGCGGCCTGGGTTCGGATCCCGGGCGCGCACCAACGCACCGCTTCTCCGGCCATGCTGAGGCTGCATCCCACATGCAGCAACTAGAAGGATGTGCAGCTATGACATACAACTATCTACTGGGGCTTTGTAGGGGGAAAAAAAGGAGGAGGATTGGCAATAGATGTTAGCTCAAGGCCGGTCTTCCTCAGCAAAAAGAGGAGGACTGGCATGGATGTTAGCTCGGGGCTGATCTTCCTCACAAAAAAAAAAAAAAAAGAATTGTTAATCTGTACCCTCATAGGAAACAGTGTTATCAAGTAGAGTACAGTGCTTATGTGCAGTTCCTTTTGCCTTTAGTCTTATAGACTCTACTTACTCCAAAGTTTTCCTTAGATCAGCACCCCCACCCCTTCAGTGGTTTCATGTATTCATACATTCACGCAATTAAATTATCTTATCACAGTCTGCATTCCTTCCTAGGATCCCCCAACTTCCTAAGTGATTTTTTAAAATTTGCACACATTAAGGTTCACTCTTTGTGCTATACAGTTTATGAGTTTTGACAAATGCAATAATGAATTGTATCCACTGTTACAGTATCATACAGAATAATTTTATTGCCCTAAAATTCCCCTGCGCTTCTCTGTTCATCCCTCTCCCTCAACCCCTTGTCCAATACACGTGTTTTTTCCAACACCACCAACCAATTAACTCAATTCTAACACTATATACCTGGAGATATGGTCAGATCCCACAGGTTAAGGGCTCAGTCCTACAAGACTGCCCACCCTCACCACTTCAGATGCCAATTGTATGTCCAGGTTGACACCCGTGCTTCTTCTTCTTTTTTTTTTTTTTAAATTTTTTGTTTATTGCAGGAACATTGGTTTATAACATTGTATAAGTTTCAGGTGTACAGCATTATACTTCAATTTCTGCATAGATTACATCATGTTCACCACTCAAATACTAATTACAACCCATCACCACACACATGTGCCGAATTATCCCTTTCGCCCTCTTCCCTCCCCCCTTCCCCTCTGGTAACCACCAATCCAATCTCTGTCCCTATGTGTTTGTATGTTGTTTTTATTATCTACTACTTAATGGGTGAGATCATACGGTATTTGACCTTCTCCTTCTGACTTATTTCACTTTGCATAATACCCTCAACGTCCATCTATGTTGTCACAAATGGCTGGATTTCATCGTTTCTTATG